CAATTTTTCCTCAGACTTATTGAAGATCCATGGAATTGAAATAAGTTTCTGTACAAATATGGGTTTCTTCCTATTAAACTTTAACTTTTATGGAAGGGTGAAAATCTGTGGCCCTCCAGATATGGCTAAACTACAACTTCCAGCATTGTTCACTCTTGGACATACTGGATGGGGTTACCGAGAAATGTAATTCAGTATGACCTGTCAGGACACCAGCTGACCTTGCAGAAACTGGTAAACAATCGATTACACTAATATTAAATAATTAATATTATTATGCAAAATCTTCCAAATGACTATAAATGTTGCCCCCAATTTTGTTATTTTTCAACAAACTGATTTGATTTAAATTAGTATCATCATATCATGCTGAGCAATTCCAGCTGGTCCGTGTTATATAATTAAAAAAAATACAGTAAAACATATATAGCAATAAAATATTAGCATTTTTAAAAGACACAAACTAATGTCCATGAATAATGGAGCAAGGCTATTATGTCATGTGTTCTGTCAAGGGGAACATTTTTTGGGCATTTTAAACAAGATCCAGTTTTACAAAATTATTTGCCCATTTCCCAGGCAATTAAAATATCCCTTACTGAGCCCAAACTGACTTAATGCCTTAATGCCTTGTTAAAAGAATGCAAATGACCAGCTGTCTGCAGGGAGTATAAATCCTTCCATTCCCCACCATCCAGTCAGAGCTGAAGAAGCTTCTTGGATGAGAAATGAAATGTCTTCAAAGAAAAACCAGAAAGTCCAGTTGCCTCTTGAAAAAGCACCTTTGGGACAACATACAGCTACATATAAAAATGGCCCTCACTATTTCATGGAAGTGAGAGTAAACATGAATTAAGGCTAGCCATGTTTCCTTTTATTTTATCTCAAGTCTTTAATATCCTTGACTTTATTTCACTTACACCTTTTCATGCACTCTGTATAACACTGTTTAACATGGCAGAGAAGACAGGAATGTATTTAGGAACACACGCATGTGTGTCTGTTTGCTAGTAGGTGAAAAGGAATGCTTACTGTCTATTTACTTTGAGGAAATGATGAAGGTTGAATGTGATTGTTCCATCAGGTAATGGCCCTTCTACAGGATTCCAACGGTCGCCAGGAAAGGTGACACCAGGTAAATGTTTAGCCAGCTTTGGCAAATACCAATGGTAAGTCATCATCTAGCACATGGAAGAAATTGTATTTATTTAAAATATTTACATACCACTCTGGCTACCATTCCTCAGCCAGCACACATACGCATTCCTTCTCTTGCTCTCTTTACACACACCGAATTCTTTAAAGTGGGACATCTATGAACAACTTCTCATAGAATATCATGACCCAATGTTTCTCTTTTGATATTTCCTGCCTGCTTTGGAGAAGAAGTGAACCATATTTAAAGGCAAGGTGATTCCAGATTTGTACCACCGCAACATTCAAAGAAGATTGACAGCTGTTGAACTTGCTTTCTGTTTTTGCCAGCTCCCTCCTACTTCAGAAGCAAGAAACTAACCCAGAGGTTTATTTCAGTTATTCTGTAATATAGGACCCAGTTAGTTGCACAATAATGATCTTGTAACAAGAAGCACATTCCTAAATCAGGAAAATGCAATTCACCAATGACCCAGAACAGATGCAATATGGTAGAATAGAAATTGGCAATAGAGACAGTATTATCCTGTGCTAATTTCTATTCAGTTGTGATTAAAGGTTTTAACACACAGTGAGTTATCTTGTATTTAGTATCTCCATGTCAGAACCAAAATTCAAAATGGGGACTTCTGATTTGCAGCCATTCTACGATATTCTACTGACCTCTTGGTCAACTAAGGTGATATCAGGTCTTATACCCTCACAATGATGCACGTAGCGCAGAGAATTCCCAGGCAGGTCCCCTCTTAGCAAGATGATGGCATTTGGAGGCATGGAGGACAAAAGATTCATGGCAAATCGGTGAACAATTTTGTTGTTACTTTGGTCACAGACACTGGTTCCAAAGGGAAAACAAAAACAAAGAAAGATTTGTCAACCTATCAAGCAAACATTCTGTTTTCAGTCCAACCCCAGATAGCCACATCAACTACAGCATTTGAAAGGAAGGATGCTATGCACAGGAGAACTTTGATGATAACAATGAGCCATCACACACCTCAAGTGTGCTGCAATGGATAAAGTGCTAAACCTGAAGCACTGTGTACCCAAATTTCACTCCTACTCTCAAGCAGAAAACAAAGCACCCCATTCTTGTATCATCACTTTATTTCAAAACTAAATTCAAAAACCAACAATTCATTCTTTAAAGATTTTAAAAAACGATGGTGATAGCCCAAGATCCCATTTGGAATTAGACCCAACTAACTTAAGAACAAAAAATGACCAAGATACAGAAGTTTCTCCTACTGGTTTGCTGATAAATTGCACATTTTTCTGCCTATAGTAGCCATTTTATGATTAGGAATCTTCCCTAGGGAAGGTACCTCTTTTTATTCATGTCAAACGGCTTGCTCTTCCAAACATACTAAGCCCCTAGCATGAGAAAACACTACTAAGAAAGTAAGACTGACATGAGGTTTCATTAATCAGAGCTAATGTTAGGATACAAACGCTTAAGATGCAAACTATCAGAAACTAAATAAGCAAACCTCTTGCTCCCATTGATGAGTCAGTTCATTAAAGGAAAGCTGTGTGTGAAATTTGAACCTTTCTTTCCTTAAGTGCAGAACAGAAAGACAAGCTGCTTGTTCTCAAGAAGCCGCATCTATTTATTCCTGGTTCTGAAACATTCTATTCCTAAGCTCAGTAAGTTACTTTACACTGGTTGTCCTTACCATGGTCAAAAAATAATGAATAGAATAGAATAGAATAGAATAGAATAGAATAGAATAGAATAGAATAGAATAGAATAGAATAGAATAGAATAGAACAGAACAGCTTTATTGGCCAAGTGTGGACACACAAGGAATTTGTCTTTGGTGCATAAGCTCTCAGTGTTCATAAAAGATATAAAAGATGAATCATGATCATAGTCATCATAAATACATTCATCATGAATCATAAGATACAACACTTAGTGATAGTCATAGGATACTAAATAAGCAATCAAAATCATATCAGGAAACTAAATAAAACAATATAAATCGTAAGATACAAGCAACAAAGTTACAGCCATAAGTAGAAAAGGAGATAGGTAATAGGAAGAATGAGAAGAATAATAAGTTTACTAAGTAGTTTGACAGTGTTGTGGGAATTAGTTGTTTGGCAGAGTGATGCGGGGAAAAACTGTCTTCGTGTCTAATTGTTCTGGTGTGCAATGCTCTATAATGTCGTTTTGAGGGTAGAAGTTGAAACAATTTATGTCCAGGATGTGAGGGAATATGATAGAGAAGTGCAAGAATCAAATCCCCAGCTAGACACTTTGGGATAAATCTTTGCCTACCTCAGGAGATAACAGAAGACAGAACTTGTTCTATGTACATATGCGCTGAGTAACTTGGGGGAATGGAGAAGAAAAATATATGGACGCTAGTGCTCAGTCCACTAAACATTATTAACTGCTGCCTCCCTGTTAATTACCTGTAATTGGAATAGATTTGAACAGTAACAAGAACAGCTGCCAGAAGCCATTCCAAACTGTAAATCATTCTGCTGTTTCCAATAAATATCTCGCCAAGAAAAAAGAGCAAAGAGAAGCCAAAGCCAGCTAGAACGACAATCACTGCATTGCTTTGCATCCAGAATCGCTCGACCTGTTGAAGAAAATATTGTGGTTTTGTCCTGTTCTGGAAGCGTGATGGTTTGTTGCACTTTCCCCAACATTTCTCATGCCTGTGAATGCAGCTTTTAAGAATACGGTGCCTCTGGGGCAATGTTTCCCAACCTTGGCCATAGCCAGGGATGTGGACTTCAACTGCCAAAATTCTTATTAATGGTTTCCCTGGCAGTAGAATTTTGGGAGTTGAAGTCCACAAACCCAGCAGTGGACAAGATGATAAATACTGTTCTAGGGGATTATGGATTTTGAAGATGATGTAGCCCATCTAAAAGGTGCTTTTATTTTATTAAATTTCTAAACCGGCCATCTAACCTAAGTGATTCTGGGTGGTTTACAACATCACTTTCAAATTGGTTTCCAGCTTCCCCAATGTTAAGAGGATCAAATAGCAGGAGCATTCTCTGCCAGAGACCTCAGTGAAGTGTTGTGATCCAAGAGAGACCATTTGAAGCCAAACAGGCAAATATCTGAGCCTGGAATAAAAGTACCTTTTCTTTGTGTGCTTCCCGCTTTTAAACAACAATGTTTAGAGGCTGTTTACAATAGCATTGAATATGAATCTGCAAAATGAAAGCAAGTTTCTAAAATGCATGGTACCTCCTTCTAGAATCCCACTTTTGTTTTTAAATTTAAATGATCCCTTTTAATTAAGCAAACTCACCACCCCCTTAAACAGGGGCTTTGAAATATCCAAATTTGCCCTCCAAGCAAAGAAAAAAGAGTATGTCAGTAACATTGATGTAAACAGCCAAATCAACTGTGACTTCTCTGTCTTCGGCCTAAAATGAAGGAAAAATATAATTTGAAAACTTTATAAAGACAGTTTACACAAAAGGAACAAGAAATTGCAAAATGAATAAAGCCTATTACTTACATTATTCTACATATAACACAAATTAAAAGCAGAGGTGAACAGCAGTGATGGTAACTGGAACAAGTCATGAAAAATAAATTCACATACAGTTGTTCTCCAACTTACTGCCTTCCAAGTATGTTTATACTACTGTTCTGCTACTCCCAACTATGGCAGAGAACATGATTTGGGCACGGTTGTTTTAAAGAAATAAATGAACAAATTTTTTCAAAGTTATTTTTTAAAAAAAGATAATTGAATATAGCAAATATACTGAATTTACCAAAACAAAAATTGAGTCTGAATTGAAGATGATCCCACACCCCAATTTAAGAGCAGATAAATCTACATCTGTCTATCTGCATGCCTGGGCAAACTCTTCCCCATTTTCTTAATCTAGGGTTACCAACTCTATATGAAACCAATCCTGAAGACTTTGCCTTCTACAATAAATTTATGTGACACACTTGTGTGCATACAAAAATGTGTGTGTATGCATAAACATATATAAACACTGCCACCAAAAGTTATAATCTAAAAAAGGCAAAGCTGGACACATACATGTCTGGGAGAAACTTAATTCAGTCTAACTTTCTGGATGTCCAAATAAATCACCAAGTTGGAAATACTTAAGCCTGAAATAAATCCCAGTACCTCACTGCGCAGCATACACATGCCACAATCGCAAAGACCTGGACAACGAGGGAAAGCTCCATCTTCATGTGGGTCACCTGAAAACTGCAAGGAAGCCAGAGAACAAGATTATTTGGCAACTGTGATGACAGCAAAAGTTCATGGGAAGATGAAGGGGGCACGCACTATAAAATCATCTGTTGCATAAGAGCTAACAGGCAGATGTCAGAGCATCTGGCAAATAACAATAGCACTTATATGCCACTTCATAGTGCTTTACAGCCCTCTCAAGCCATTTACAGTTTCAGCATATTGGCCAATCTGGGTCCTCATTTAACTGACCTCGGAAGGATGGAAGGCTGAATCAACCTTGAGGCAGTCAGAATCAAACTGCTGGCAGTTGGCAGAATTAGCCTGCAATATGGCATTCTAACCACTGTGCCACGGCTCTTTGGATGCTTTCACGATGCAGAGTAAAAACACTGGATCAGACAGGGATTAGGAGCTTGGAAGGGAAGTGCTGAGCTCTCGTCCTAAGATCCAGTCTAACAGCACACCCAAACAGGGCCTGGTCATATCTGTTCTCCCTTTTTTCAATATTTGCTTGAATCTGAAATGGCTGGGGTCCACTAGCTATCACAATCAAATAACTCACAATGTCACAGGAGAATAGTTATTTCCATCCATGTCACTTTCACAAGTTCACCCCTAAATTCATTCCATCTTGTTATTGCAAGCCATCCTTTTTAAATCCACACTTGCACTTGCATTTGTTTATTTTACTCCATTTAGAGATTGTTTTTAATGGAAAGTAAGATACAATAGTTATTTGTAAAAATATACATTTAAAAATGTGTCTTGTTCTTTCTGCTAAGATCTTGAAACATTTGGGATGTCGTAAAGGAATATAGGATGAAGATCACAAGACAGTACTTTCCCCAAATCTTTTAAATCTTCCATTGCCTAAAGGACAAATTAAAACTACAGTCTTGCACCCACTTACTGCAAATAAGCTCCACTGAACACAACAGGAAATGTTTGTGTCAGATACGCTTATAATTACACTATAATCCATACAATTTGCATTCACTTACAGCAATACATCAGTCGTACTGGATCCATTTTCCAATTTTGCCTGCACAGAAAAGAAGAAAATCAGCATTATTTATAAGTGTATAAGTCTAGCTACACCGTCCATTTTGGTTAATCCAACCGGCACCCAGAATCTGGAATATCCATGCAGTTCATCAGGAACAAGCAATTCTGAGCTATGACAAGGGGGGTTCAATCACTATCTGGCCTGCAACCACACTATGCAGTGTTAACTTAAACAATGCATTATTCAAACCAACAACAATGGCTCTGCAGCAAAATATTGCAGTTAAGGATTCCTGCTCAGAGCTCCAGCCATTCAATTGCAGCCTTTTCCCTTTATATACAGTATATAACCCCTATATCTTCAGACAATGAAGACTGAATATGCTCAGTTCTGACTTGACAGTTTCAGGATTTTTTCATTTCCTTTTACTTCCTACCCACCCAACACATACCTATTTATAGTCCTGAAGACCTGATATCACATGTGCCAATCATTATGGGACAGCTACATGATGACAAATGGTTGAAAATGGGTTCTAGATTCCCAGTTAATAGTTGCTTCATTACTTTGGTTTCATTAATGCCAATAAAGGGTTGCAGACAACTGATGAACCACGTGCAACCACGATAACGTTGTACAAGATTGCAACTTCTACCAGTAAAACAACCAAGGGGACAGAAAAATTGATGGAATAATTTCCTGTTTATAAGCACCATCCCAGTTCAAACAGAAATTATCTGAAATATGTTCTGGCTGTCATGCGAATAAACCCTGCCAGCTGCAGATGGCCAAAGGCTGTCATTTTTACTCACCGAAAAGTCCTAAGTCAGAAAAACTGAGAATCCACTGAATATTCATGCCCAGATAGACCCGAAGCTGGCTTGACTGCTGCAATCAGACTGGCCTTCACACACAAAACACCCCTTTTGGGAAATGCTAATACCAAACATAATCCTGTCCGACGCCTGAGTTCCTCTGATCACTTCAAGACAAGCTACACATCAATTATGTACTGTAGTAAGTTTAAAATATCGCCACCAACTTCAAAACATAAAAGCAGTTAAGATGCACCTACCTAATATGAATTATACAGTTAGCGTACAGGGAGGCAGCGCAGTTTAATCAGGGGTGGGCTACGGGGGGTTCGCAGGGGTTTGGGAGAGCCCTTAGCTAAGATTCTGTGCACTTTGGAGAACCCCCAAATCCCACTCCTGACTGGCCCCGGCCCTCCCTGGAGTCCCCATGTGGCCCAAATGCAGGGCGTGCATGGAGGCTCGGGGAGGGTGAAAAACGGGCCTCCCAAAAGTTCAGGAAGGCCATAAATGGGCCCGATTCTGGCTTCCTTTTCGCCCTTCCGGAGGCTCAAGGAAAGCCTCTGGAGCCCGGGGAGGGCAAAAATGCCCACCCCCCACCCTGTGGTGCAGGAGGCTGACTAGGCCATGGCCACCATGGCCACGCCCACCCAGCAACCGGGCTGAGAACCCTTTGCTAAAATTTTTGAAGCTCACCCCTGAGTTCAATAAACCACTGGAGTTTATGGGAAGTTCAGGTCCACCAACAGGAAGTGTAGTGGGTGACCAGTTGCTGTCAGGATTCCAGTGATTGCCCTAATGAAATCATGAGCCTTGAGCCAAGCTTCAAAAGAAACCAAAAGATTTATTAGGAGCAACATGTAAAGCATTGCTATGCCTGTTTACAGTCTCTTGCTGCCTTGTCTTGGCTCAGCCCACCTAAGAAGGTTGGCAATGGGATACGAAGTGGATTTCTAGGGTAGGAGGAAAGATATGATACAGATCTATACAGCCTTCACGTTCCTCTGCCAAAGGAGAGTTCCAGGCTGCCACTGAGTTGCATTAACCTTCATGTTAAATGAAAATGCCATGACTTGAAACAGCTGGAGGGGGATTTAAATGATTTCTCCAGTCACCAAGTGATTACAGCTATCCTAAGGAACAGGTGTGAGGACTATTAAACCGCAAGTGGCAAATAACAAAAACGGCAATAATTTGAAATCCCTTCTGCCTTTTCAGAGCCTGACCTGTGAGTTGAAAAGACGCAATATCACGCAGGTTTAGTATTTAAGAGGAACTTTGTTCTTAAAAAAGGAGAACTCAAATTTACCAGGCTGAATGTGCCATACTCTTCCCGGAGAAGATGGGTCATAAATCCTTTAAAGCTTGTCTGGTCTCCCCAGGTCCAGCGGGCTTTATTAAGGTAGGCAGAGATAGGCAAGTAGAGATAAGGCAGACAACCAGCCAAGAAGCAGAAACTTAACTTCAGCGCATTGCTCAGGGTCAGCTCCTACGCACACAAAAAACCATTTTACAATATTACATGAGTCCTCTGTTGCATTAAATTGCTGCAACTTCAAAAGGGCTGGCAAGTGGACAGAGAAGAGAGAAATCTTATCTTAAGCTAAGCTTCAGTTGGCCCCGATCTTCAGGCAAGTTTTTAAAAGATGGCTTTCCCACCCCAGATATTGGGCCAAGATAATAGATGATCCCACCTTCTGGGAGAGGGACTTAAGATTGACTTTTGCCTTTTTAGTATCATTCCTTAATTTGCCATATTGTTTTAAAATATATCACCCGGAATTGCAAATATGTTGAGTTGGATGCTTAGAGTGCACAAATCTTCTAAATTAGGCAGCAAACAAGTAATATACTGACGCATAGAGCTGATATCTTCATTTGCATGGGGAGTCTCAAAACATGATGTTAATAATGGCATTCTCCGTAGATTACTCGTGGAAGATGACATCACCCTGATCCTTTCTGCATGGCAGGAGGCAATTTCAGGCTGAAACAAATCGTATCTGAGGCTCCCAAGGATCACATCACTGGCACCTTTGGCCACTGAAATTAAGCCATGACAGGACCAGATAGCAGAAATGCTGCAAAGGGAGATTAAACCACTTTGCAATGATTAAAAAGTGGGTGGTTTTTGATCAATGCTCCCCACCACAATAATTAAATTAAAATCTAATGTCTTAAAAGTTTAGTGCTGATCTTCTAAAGGCCATTACCAATTGGTACATCCATATGTAGAGGGGCTGAAGCTTTCTCAGCAGCATCTGTAGATGGGGAACGAAATCTGCAAGGTGGCAGGAATGGCTTTGTGATGGATGTCTATGGAGATTCTCAGTGATTCAGATCACGGTTGCCAGCAATTTCAGCAGTTCCAAAAAGATTCCACACCCATCTGCACTGTTCAGGTGGCCCTGAGATAAACCCCCAAGCAGCCTCAATGACTCTCTGAGAGTGCTAACAACCAGATGACTGCAAGGAATACAAATCCTTCCACCTTCGGTTAGAACTGAAGAAGCTTCTTGGATGAGAAGTGAAACATCTCAAGAGGGAAAAAAGTCCGGTTGCCTTTTGAAAAAGCATCTTTGGGACATTGTGATGGATGTTTCACTCCTTTTGTATGTGCAATGATGTCACATGCACATACAAAAGGGTCAGGATTACAATCACAATACTCTCCATCTTGCTGATTTTTGACATCCTTGCCTTTATGGAAGCCCATGGGCCTACACTTAGGGGTACCAAAAAGAGACAACTAACCTTGTGAGAACCATGGATTACACAGGGACATAATCTGAGTTAGCCAATTTAAAATATTAAATATTATAAGCTCAGGGTAGAATTTATAGTGATATTACCGTAACGGTCTCACATAACCTTTTCTGAGAGATTCATACTTTTAAAAAATTCTTGAGAGGTAGAAAAGAGTAAAGCCATCTTTTTTTTCTGTTAAAATGAGTGGCAAGTCATCATGACCACATGACTTCTCTCATGGAAGAGCACATGGACCAACCAAGGATACTGAAGTGGAGTAACCACTAAATGTGATCTGCAAAAAGCATTAGCTGCAGAGTACATCTCCATTTAGGAGTGCTTTTAAAAAGGGAATCCAGTGGCCCTTGTTTCAACTCAAACAAAAAGACCAGCTTTGGAATCTCTAAATATACAACAAGAGGACGAAGACGTTATGAGCCCTGGTGACGCCGTGGTTAGAGTGCAGTACTGCAGGCTACCTCTGCTGACTGTCGGCTGCCTGCAATTTGGCAGTTCGAATCCCACGAGGCTCAAGGTTGACTCAGTCTTCCATCCTTCCGAGGTGGATAAAATGAGGACCCAAAATTGTTGGGGGCAATATGCTGACTCTGTAAACTGCTTAGAGGGGTCTGTAAAACACCATGAAGTGGTATGTAAGTGCTAAGTGGTATCTAAGTGGTACTGCTATCTCAATAAACTTTTTAGGAAAAAGAAAGGTGACCTTGGCTTTCAGTTCTGCTTTTGCAGACTTGTTGAGAGCCTTCTTCACTTTCCGTTCCTGATTTGTAAAACAGAATTTGTCCCAAAGGTGCTTTTCAAAAGGCAACTGGGCCAACTTGCTTGGTTTTTTTCCTTGAAATATTACCCTTTTCATCCAAGAAGTTTCTTCAGTGCTAGGGACAACCATGACCTGGATGATTGAGAATCTCCATAGGCAAAGCAGAAGCTGATTCTCAAACTGAGGCTGAGCATAAAGATGCTTCCAAATTGCTACAGTGGCAGCTAAGAACTATAACACCAAGTAGTGTAGTGAAATATATTGCACATATTGCACATTGTTCAAAAATATAACAATTCTACCATTAATAATATAATACCCCAAAGTATTTGGAAGTGTCAATGTGCTCCAAACATCATCTTTAGCGACCAACAGATTTTCTTGTTTCATCTCATTTTTTTTATATCAACATATAAACATTAAAACAACCAGAAACGGACATGCTATAAAAGCATCTTTATTTCAGTAATGTCTTTGAGTTCTAGGGGCCCATGGAAACATCTTTAGGAAATAAAAATAATGGGCAGCTGTAGAACTACACTTTGTTTGGAAATCCGCTATCAAATAAGAAAAAGGAGAAACAAGGCACATCCAGGCAGGCAGCAAAAACAGAAAGAGTAGCAAGTAATTCTGTGAATGAGCAACCTCCAAACTTTCTCTCCAATCTTTCTCACATACAGATAGTTCTTGGTTAAAGACTGCCCTGTTTAGCAACCCTTTGACGTTACAATGGTGCTGAAAATGTATCCTTATGACTGGTCCTGCATTTATGACTGTCGCAGTCTCATAAATGAGATTTGGGCACTTCACAGGCGCTTATGACCATCACATGATCACCATAAGAGTGCTTCACAACCAACTTCCAACAAGCAGAATGAAGAAGTTTTATGCAAATTTATGCAGTTTTATGCAAATTTATAAATTTGCATAAAGGATGTTTTGCCTAACAACCGCATCACGTACTGATGGGGTTACCAGTCTCAGTTTTGGTTATTGGCGAAGATGACTTACTTGTATTCTTAAAATTCCAACTCTGCCTTTTAACTCAAAAAGAGTTATGTTGCAGTTATTTTTCTCATCTCCACATGTAAAACAGACAGATGCAGACTTTTGATTAATTCTGTATCTTTCCCTATTTATTATTATTGCTGTTTGTTGTCATTTGGAACTGCCCATTGTTCTTAGAGTTGGCCAGATTGCGGGAAGGAACTGTCCAAGCATGTTTCTAGACTTCCAAATACTCACACGCTCCCTAAACAAGCGAGAAGAAACCCACAAAACAATGCAAAGCACGTAGATCACAATGGTATGTTGGTTGCACATGCTAAGTCCACAAGAGAAGGCACCCACTTTACAGATCTGCAAAAAAAGAAAGGAAAACATAAATTCTAACCATGGACTTAAATTGGTTTTTCAAATTGTTTTTCTTCTTGCAGTAATTCTGGGGCATGGAGCAGTTTGTTCTCGCTGCAGCATCTGCAGGGGTGTTCAAGGCTGAGATACACATCCCAAAAGGTGGAGCTTGCAGCATGATGGCCCAATACTGTGTTTGTCCCTTGGACAAAAGGCAGCCAAAGCTGTGGAGGATGACCACATCTATTCACATGGCTCCCTATTTACAATTCCAGAAGCCAAAAAGTGACCTTGGCTGGTCTCATAAAAAGGTACACAGGTTAGTACTTCACTGGGATTATGAGAAAATCCAAGGGTTGTACAATAGTAGACAACTAGAAGTTATCTTAGGTGGCCAGAGATTGCACACAGTATTTGGGAAGGAGAACTGAGGGCTTCAGTGGCTAGGCTGAAGATTGTAGTAGCTGTGATCTTATTGCTTTCTTAGATTGGAAGGGAAGAGTGCAAAACTACACCACAAATTTGGGACAATCATGACTGAATGGCTCCAAGGTTGAAAAAAACAACTTGTTCTGGAGCCATGTACTGTCATGTGTTGCCTATCCTGTCCTGGGTGAAAATTCTTCCTCCATCCCGCAAACTGGGCTCCCATCTGCATATCGGGGAGGAGGGAAGGGGAGAGATTACATTAAGAAAGACTTCAGGAAGCTACAGCTCTAGCAAAGAGAAAGTTCCCGATTACACCCAAGCTCAACTTGAAAAATTACTTTGACTCACACCAGTGGCAGGACGATACACTCACCTTTCTTATGAAGAGCCCCACATACCTCCATTTAAAAAGACCAGTGAAGGGGAAGGACTTTAGGCCAAGATCTTGCTACTGCCAATGAAAGCTACAACTTGTCCACTTCCCAACCAGCATCTGGCAAGTTACAACCCCAATATATTCCGAGAGTCCAAGCATGAGGAACAATTGGCTTAAGCCACCCTATGCAGTTTAGTCCTACTCTCCAGAGGCTTAAGGGGAAGGGAAACCACTCCTGAAACCTTTTGATCCAGAGTAAGGTACCTTTGATCTCTCTTTTGCAGTTGTTGCTTCCTCGAATTGCACAGAAAGTGCCATCAGCAGCCCCACAAACAGATTGTTTAAGCTGAAAACCTCTGCTGTGATAGACCATTGCCATGTTAGACGGGAAAACGAAAACATCCCCACAGCAAAGATTCCTGCTGCCTGCGAGCCAGAAAGCCTGCAAACATAGATAACAAGAAAATGCATCTTTTCCTCCATTATTACTAGTCCTCGCTCATCAGAATTAAATACAAACAAACAGATGCCACCTTCATGGTGCTTCTCCTGCTATCACCCCAAAACCCATATGGTAGCATCATGGAAAAAAAATATTTCTTTTGGCAGGATCTCACCAAAGCCTGGGCTGCTGGCATATTTTTTTAACACTTGAATTTTAAATTAATAACTAATTAGGTTGTTATTACAGAAGAACAGCATCCCAAGATACTGATAAAACTACAGAAGCTTCACACATGCTAGAACTACAAAATACTATGAGACAAGGTGCACCGTAAGGCAATTCGGTGCACCTGTCTTTATTAGCTTCTATCTAGATTAGAGTTTTTCAGCCTCAGCAACTGTTGTGTAGATTTCAAGCATGCTGGGTGAGGTAATCTGGGAGTTGGAAGCCCACATATCTTACAGCGGCTAAAATTCAGAAACACTAATGTGGAAGTCTCCCTAAGTGCACCAGCGTGCCTACCATCCCTGTCCTATTGTTTCTTTTTTATTTTTCTTACATGTATCCATTTCATGTATTCATAACTATGTTTATACTTATACTTGTTATCTTATAATCGCTTGACAAAATAAAATAGATAAAAAATAAATAAGCGCACACCGAGTCAGCTCTGCACTTTCTGGAAGCTGAACAAGGTTGGTCCTGCCTTTGTCCTTGAAGGGGGGAATTGCCAGGGACCACCAGAGCTGCTAATTGCCCTGGAAAGTTGAAAACAATATTGCCCTGGATATAGGCCAAGGCAAACCAGATCCATGTTGCCAAGAAAACATGGACGTGATAATGTAGGACTAAAAACCAAGCCCTATGAGGAGAGGCTGGAGTGGCAAGGGAGGCTTAGCCCAGAGAAAAGCTGTTTGGAATGGAATATAATAACGCTCCTCAATATGGCTGAAAGGAGCAGGAGAAAATAAGGGCCTCTTCTTTCTTATTTCAGAGAGCTGGATATGGAATAACGGATATAAGTTATACCGGGAGTGGGAGCAATTACCTCAGTCAGTGTTTCTCAACCTCATCAACCTCAGCAACTTTACGATGTGTGGACTTCAACTGGCTGGAGAATTGTGGGAGTTGAAATTTACACATTTTAAAGGGGCTAAGGTTGAGAAACACTGGTCTAGAGTGATGGGGGCTCTCACTCATTGGATATATCCAAGCATACTGCCATTGTCTTGAATTGTTCTAACTCAATGAATGTTTGCTTTGAGCAGAGGTTGGATTCAACTGTCACTACCAATTTGATGAGCCCATGAAATGCCTTTATGCCAGAAACAGTGTGCCTAGATACTGGAACTACAACTTGCACAAGTATTATAAACAGTATTTTTATTTAGGATGAGTTAACCTGTAAGCCAGGGATTCCCAACCCCCGGGTCGCAGCCCACTACCGGGCTATAGAAGTAGTGGGTGAGCGCGAATGTGCAGCTCCACCTGTCCAAGAGGCAGGGGTATGTGGCTGCTGCTCGTGCAAATGGAGCTACACACACACATACACACACACTTACCCACCAGCCGCACATAACCATTTCCAGTCCTTCTCCAAAACCAGAAAGGTTGGGGATCGCTGCTTTAAGTCACAGTATAAAGTTTTATTTTTCCCACAACAGCAACAAACATGTGAGGTAGTTGGGCTGAAGGAGGGATCTTCCCAAAACCATCCAGTCACTTTCTGTGTGCAGAATCTGGGTCTCCTCGATGTTAGTCCAATACTTTAAATCTGTTCCACACTGGTCTTATTTGTTTATGGGAATTAGTCCCAAACATCTCTATATCAAAGTTTTAACTTTATTTAAATTCAAACCTCAAAATATACTTTTTTTTCACATGAAATATTGTAGTCTAAATACTTTTATACAGACTATAGACACTGAGACAAATATAATAATTTATTCATGCTTATTTACATAGAAAAATTTTTCCAATTCAAAATTTTCTGAAAAGCTTACAAAGTTCAATGTACAGAGCTATGCATATTTTGTTTTTAAAGGTCAGAAAGAAAATATGTGAAAATTCAAGAGTGATAAAAATAGTATTCCTTCGTACAACATTAACCACAATATATTATTCACCGGCATCAAATTTGGTGATATCCACTAATTTACACAGTTACCAAGAGGGGATGAGTATTTATGGAAATCCAGAATATCAGTGGCTACTTGATGGCATTTACATCTCTGGAAACATGAGCAGGATATTGTGAATACCACTCACTAAAGACTGTTTGTATTAGTAAGCTTCCTAAATGCATCTGGTTGGCTGTTATTCGTGGTAGAATCTGACTAGACGCTCTGTTGGCCAACCCACATAGCTAACACTGCAAAGCTCAAAAAAAAGCTTCAATGATCACATTGTTTCATTTTCCAAAAAGCTGAAGTAAGGACAAGAGGATCACCTCTCCTAGATCTGATTCCAACCAACAGATCTAAAAAAAAAAAAAGCCTTTTCGTGTTGAAAGTTTGTTATACGACAAATTTACTGCAATTAACAATCTCAGGATGCAACAAGCACGAAAACATGTTATTCCCATATATTCTGGTAAGGGTTGCTGGATGGCTCCATATAAGAAATCTTGAAAGGAAGCTTAATAGAACAGAAGCCTCCTCAGTCCCAAGCTATTAAACGTATTTAAAATGTATTTATTCTGAATCCAAATAGCTCAGGGCAAACTTTCCTTAGGGAAACAATAATCTTCTATTTCACAAGTAGAGAACAAATGGGGGAGAACTAGAAGTCTTAATGCAGGGAGATGAATATGATTTAGTGGGCAATGGTGAAACATAGGGGGAGGAAATTCATAAGTGGAATGCAAGGATTGAATACATCAGTACAATGCACTCCACATGTGAAGGTGTACTCATGCTTTGATATCCAGAAATCTGAGCACAAATAACCAGTATTTGAGAAAAACACAATGGAAACAACAAATATGTTACTTTGAAGTTGTATTATAGATGACTGGAACAGGTAGGGCAGGGGTGTCAAATTCATGTCGTCATAGCGGTATCACGTGACATATCGGGACTTTTTTCCCCTTTCGCTAAATCGGGGCATGGGCATGTCCACTGCGTGACGCATCTGGCCCGCAGGCCTGGACTTTGACAGGCCTGAGGTAGAGCATCTGGATAATATTCTTCTGGGCATTAGTTTTCAGAGAGGAAACTTAATAATGAAACTTTTAACTACACTGGTATGGAATGGACAACTGTCATGACCAGGACTGCAAAGCTCCAAAAATGGTCTTATTGTTCTCATTTTACAAAAAGCTGAAAAAGAATTAAGAGGATCATCTCTCCTAGATCTGATCCCAACCAATGGAGAAGAGCTAGCTGAAAACCAGAGAAGTACTAACTGGAATCTTCTGAACAGATATTCGCAATTTAAATGAAGTACAATTGAATCGGGGGGAGGGGGGGGAGGAAGTGGGGGAAGGGCAGCTTAGAAAATCATTCTGAATCCATATGGAATTTTCATCAGTGCTAGGAGTTAATGCCCACTCTGGCCACGCCCCCCTCGCCCCTCGCCCAGGGTCAAACACAACCCTGATGTGGCCCTCAATGAAATCAAGTTTGACACCCCTGCACTGAGCAGAAAAACTGACAACAGGAGAAAGCAGGAACCCAAGCCATGTAGCAAGATACCTGAGGAATTCTTGATAAAGTTAAAGTTAAATCTTTAGGAGCAGACCAGTTACATTTAAGAGCCTTGAAAGAACTTGCAGAAGTCATCTCTCAGAAATCTTCCTTGGTTGGATTTACTAGCCCTGTTCCTTAAGTTATCAGCACAGCCCTACCACATAAGTCCTAAGGGGGTAATAGTCAAGAGAAAGATATATAATTGTATGTGAACGACAAACAGGTTTAGCACACCAAAATTATTTTGGCAATAACTGTTATCTGTTGAGTGTTTAGCTTATTTTTACTTCATGAAAAGAAAAAACTATCTGGACTAATTCATGGGTGATTAGTTGAAAGGCAGACAGACTGCAAATCTCTGAAATATTATATACAGGTAGTCCTCAACAGCGACAATTTGAAGTTCCAACAGCACTGAAAAGGGTGACTTATTGCCATTTTTCACTTATGACTGTTGCAGCATCTCCATGGTCACGTGATCAGAATTCAGATGCTAGGAAATTGTTTCATATTTATGATGACTGCAGTGTCCCGGGGTCACATCATCACCTTTTGCAACCTTCTGACAAGCAAAGTCAATGGAAAAATCAGATTCACTTAACAACCATGTTACTAATTTAACAACCACAGTGACTCACTTAACAAGTGTGGCAAGAAAGGTCATAAAATGAGGCAAAACTCACAATGATCTTGCTTAGCACACAATGGGATCAATTGTGTTCATTAGTCAAGGACTAGCTGTATATTTATATTTGTCTGACTTTATATAGCCATTTGTTGCTGTTCCTGCTCGTCACCTTCCCAAAACTCTGTATAACGTTCTAGCCACTTTCTTTCAAGTCTGGGAAAATGTCCCGGTAAAGCTAAAGGGAAACTCCAACCGGGTTTACAAAGTTTGGTTTTAGCCTGCTGCATTTTTTGTCCTGTTACACCTCTCTTGGTATAATCCAACTAAATGCTGCAAATTCAAAGCCCAGAAATGCTTTGGGGAAAATATAGTTTGGAGATAATTACTTTTACCTGAATGCTCCTTTACGGGACATTCCTGAGAAGTATTATGTAAAGTAAGGGCACCATCAAAATAGACACTGCTGCAGTGAAATCCACTTTTTCCTGGGCAGAAGTGATGAAAACGATGTCATCAGATGGGGTTCCTATACCTCTACAGGTGGCAGTGATCTCTCCAGGCAGCCCCGGAGGCGTTATGATGCCCAGTCCATCATTCTAAGACGCAGCTTCTCATATACATTTGAAACGCCGTCTTTTTTTCTGGCACACTTTAAGCAGAGCTTGGATGCCAGTCACAGA